GTAAAAACTCGCAGAATCTACTCGGAGCCGGCGGTGAACCGTCAACAAGGTTACCGCCGGGACCTCGTAAAGCTCTCAACGCGCAAATTTGTGCTCAGAGTATGAGGACAGAGCTTCCTTCAATGTCGGGTCCAAGCTCGCAGATTTTCCAGGTTTGACTCAGTTCGGCCAGGTGTCTCAGCAGTAATGCTGCAGGTATTGGGCCTCGAGTTTCACTGACAGGCGCAGCATAACACACTGCAGGTGCGAAAAATATTGGTTTTCAACCTGCTCAAGTTTCATACAACAGACAGCTATCATGCACACAACTCTACGCTGATGTTCTCGGGATATCTCCTGATATACCTCGAACCACAAGCTCCCGCCGATGCAAATTTATGCTTCTGATCATGCTGAGCCCATCGGTGAGAATCAGAGCTGTGTAGCTCGCCTTTTACTTGCATGAAGTTGATAAAACCACTTTCATCTCGAAAAATGCGCCCCGACGGCCGCCGGTTCCTCCACGTTTTTAATAGTAATATTGCAGCTATGGACCTGAGCATTTGACAGACAGACGCAGCAACCCACTCCACGTTAGAAAATCGGGCAAAAGGAATGTTCAAATCTATCACAATGTCAAAACAAACGATCCCAGGTTGCCACATTGTCTACCCGGGCCGGGTGGGCCAATTGGGAACCGGCGGTAAACCGTCAACCAGGTTACCGCCGGGACCTTCGTAGAGCTCTCAACACGCAAACAAACGCTCAGATGATGCGGAGAAATCGTCTTCGAAACTCAGCCTACAAACTCGCAAAATAGTTTTTTTTGGGGCTTCTACCACGTCGGTTCCTCCACGTCTTTGGACAGGAATATTGCAGCTACGGACCGGAGAAATTGACAGACAGACGCGGCATAACCCACTACACGTCAGAAAAATATTGGTTCTCAAAACAGATGTCAAATCCTTCAGAGTCTTCAAGAAACCGACCCCAGGTCGTCACATTGTCCGCCCTGGGCCGGATGGGCCAACTGTGAGCCGGCAGTTATTTGTCAACCAGGTTACCGCCGGGACCCTCGTAAAACTGTTAACGCGCGTATGAGTGCTCTGAACACAGGAGGAAAGCTTCCTTGCATATCAGCCTAAAACGTTTTTTTTTTTTTTTGTTCCTTTTTTTTTGTTCTTTTTTTTTTCCTGAGGTTTTATACGAAGTTGGTTCCTCCATGTCTTTAGATAGTAATATTGTAGCTACGGGCCTGAGATTTTTACAGACAGACGCGACACAACCCACTACACGTTGGAAAAATATGGGTTCTGACAACGACTTTTCAATTGTCGTACACTGTTGGTCCAACCGACCCAAACTTCACACATTGTCCGCCCGAGCTGTTGCGGTTGTTCCACTCGCCGCCACCAGGGCGTACCATCATCCTCACGCTCTTCGTCTTCTTGCTTCTCCACCTGCTCCTCCTGCTCGGAGTTTTCCTCTTGGGCCCAGCGGTGGAGCTCGCCATGACTGCGACTTTGCCACCCGTGCCTCGCCCCCAGCCGTCGGCCTCCACGGGGTGCTCATCGACTACTTTGGGGATCGTTCTCGTTCTGACCTCGCTTCGCAGCAGAGGCATCACGGAATCGGAACGAATGAAAGCGACAACGAGACGAAAACGACAAACACTGCTCAGCTCGAGCTTCTGATCTGAAACCCTCCCAGCTCTCCAGGAGTTGCCAGGAAAAAAAACTCCGGGGAGCGACGCAGCCCAGGACGCGTGAGAAGCCTGTAGGAGACGCCTGCAAGGTCGCTGGAGAGGATGTTCTGGGAGCGTTCCAGCTCGAGAAAGGAACTTCACAGGAGGAGGAGGAGGAAAAGGAGGAGGAGGAGGAGGAGGAGGAGGAGGACCAGGGAGGATGAGGATGAGGATGAGGATGAGAATGGGGATGATGATGATGATGATGATGATGATGATGATGATGATGATGATGATGATGATGATGATGACGATGATGATGATGATGATGCTGATGATGATGATGATGATGATGACGATGCTGATGATGATGCTGATGATGATGATGGTGATGATGATGGTGATGATGATGCTGATGATGATGATGCTGATGATGATGATGATGAGGATGATGATGATGATGATGAGATGATGATGATGATGATGATGATTATGATGATGATGCTGATGCGATGATGCTGATGATGATGATGATGATGATGCTGATGAGGATGAGGATGAGGATGATAATGGGGATGATGATGATGATGATGATTGATGATGATGATGATGATGATGATGATGATGATGATGATGATGATGATGATGATGATGATGATGATGATGAGGATGATGATGATGATGATGATGATGATGATGATGATGATGATGATGATGATGATGATGATGATGATGATGATGGCTGATGCTGATGATGATGATGATGATGATGATGATGATGATGATGATGATGATGATGATGATGATGATGAGGAGGAGGAGGAGGAGGAGGAGGAGGAGGAGGAGGAGGATGAGGAGGATGAGGACTAGGAGGAGGAGGAGAGAGGAGGAGGAGGAGGAGGAGGAGGGGAGGAGGAGGAGGAGGAGGAGGATGAGGACGAGGACTAGGAGGAGGAGGAGGAGGAGGAGGAGGAGGAGGAGGAGGAGGAGGAGGAGGGAGGAGGAGGAGGAGGAGGAGGAGGAGGAGGAGGAGGAGGAATGCTTCGTAGGAGCTCCCAAGGAACTTCGAAGGTCGCCGCTGTCTCTGGTCTCCAGGGAGGTTTCCCGGGGCCCGTTGCGCATGCAGTCCTCCCACGGAGGCTCCGGGGGGATGCCCTTGGCCGCCTCGCGGAGTGGCCTCCGCCGCTCTGCCAGACATCAGGACCTTTTCTCAGTGATCCGACTTCTTCCTTCACGGCTGATACGATTGCTCCAGATAAACCGGTCGAGGCTGTTAGGAAGCTTGCCCTTGGAATAGGTCGCCCCCCGTCCAGCATCTGATTCAGGCCTCGAGAAGAGAGTGAAAAAACAAGGGATGAATTGGGGGCCCGCATCATGGGGACTGCGAGATCTGTTTACCGAGTTTGCTTCGGCTAAACCCCCACCGTCGCAGGAGGGCAGCGACACTGCAGGCGCGACCCCAAGCAAGTGGAGCATACAGTCGGCCTTGATTCGTAGGTCAACCCTGCCGAGTCCAGGGTACCTTGTGTCCTGCCTCAAGAGGCCTGTGCCTTTTGCATTTCTATGGCAGTGTAGCCGTCGGAAGGGTCTTGTGTCGCCCGACTGTAGGATTTTTGATGTGATCCGGGTCAAGCTCTTGCGCAAGGGGAGCCGGAGCCCCTGAGGCACAGCCACATGTCCCATTCAATGCTTGCGCTGAAAGGTTGCTGGCTTGACTCGAATGTATTTGCCCTCCGCCGCCGCCGCACTGCGCCGTCGTTGTCAACCTACAGGGGCCACATTCCGGCGCCTTCGCTCTCCCTTGTCCGTCCCTGCCCTCTGAGGGTCCACGGCCCCACTGCTGAGCCCCCCCGCCGCCGCCCTCTTCCCAGGCCGCCCTGGTGCTTGCCCTACTCTGCCCTGTGCCTCGCCTTGCCTGGGTGCCCACGGGCTGGTCTCGTCGAGGGAAGGAGTTCGTAGCAGTTCATGGGAGCTTTGTATGTCCTCGCGGTTCCATTTCTAGAGTGCGTTAGCGTGCGCTAGCCGCTGACAGTCGCTGAGAAAACGCCGATTTAGCATCAATCAGCGTTGATTCGCGTCGATTGGTGTCGGTTCGCAAGAGCCAGGGAGATGCTATGGGAGGGTCCCGTGAATTGCCGCCGAAAAGGAGCCCTGCCGGGCGATAGGGTTGCGGCCAGTAAAGAGCCAGGGCGCGCAGCAGGCGCGCCTGCGAGGACGTGCCGCCCGACCGGCAGCGGCTGTTTCCGGCGGGGAGCGCCGGTGCGATGCGCTGGGACGGCCCTCTCGCCTCGATCTTTTTTCGAGGCAACGCTAACATGGTTTAACGCGCGTGGATTACCGACAAGTCCCGCTTCCATGCGACATCGGCATCCATGCGACATCGGCATGCGCTGTCGCTAAATGAGGCGGCGCCTCCTCATGTGTAGGGAGTATTGTCCCCGATCCATGGATCTGGCGTCCACGCATCGGATCCACGGATCGCTAAGCCATGTCAGCGTGCGCTCGTTTATCTCGTGGGCGAAAAGCCTGTCCGTATCTGTGGCCTGGCGGGCCGGGCCCTGGGCCGCGACCCCTCGGATACGGGGTCTTACTGTTGCGGATGCCTTGCGCGGAGCGTGTCCGTGCCACTTCGTATCCGCGGGATAGCGCCCCAGAATCGTGATCGCGAGGGCGCGGATTCCGATATGTTCGCCGGTCTTGATGTTTGCGACGCCAGATGTCAGGGCTTCTTTCTCCTTTTTTTCCGCCCCCCCATATTCTCCTTTCTGTCCTTCACCCGACAGCCGGCTCTGCGTGGTTGCAGACGCGACCTGTCGGGAGCTTGACGATGCATGCCGCCGGCATGACAACGAGGACTTGTGACCGCCGCGGCGCTTGTCGAGGAAGGATCATCGGCGTCCGCGTATCCTCTCGGGGCTCCGCACGGGTTTCTTGGACCGGCGCTGGGCCTCCTGGCGCGCTCCGCGTGCGAGGGGGTGGGGGCTTCCATGGCCGATCCAAAAGTTTGTGCGGCGCCCCCTCGGGAGGCGCTTCGGGGCGGTACAGACCAACG